CAGGGTCCTGGGATCGAGCCCCGCATCGGGCTCCCTTCTCAGCGGGAAGACTGCTTCTCCCTCTCCCACTCCCCCTGCTTGTGTTCCTGCTCTCACTGTCTCTGTCTCTGTCAAATAAATAAATAAAATCTTTAAAAAAAAAGAAGAGTCCTGTGAGCCTGGGACGAGAAGGGCAGTGGGATCTTGAGGGTTGGAAGCACACGTTCCCTCCCTGCCTGAGGGCTAGTCCATCACAGACCCTGGCGGCTACTGCTCACCTATTCTGACCTAGTAACAGAAGTCAGCATCATTCAAAACAAACAAACTCAGGGGTGCCCGGATGGCTCAGTCAGTTGAGCATCTGACTCCATTTTGGCTCAGATCATGATCTTGGGGTCCTGACACTGAGCCCCACTTCAGGCTCCACACTCAGTGTAGAGTCTGCTTGGGATTCTCTCTCTCTGCCCCTCCCCCCACTCTCCCTCTCTAAATAAATAATAATCTATTAAAAAAAAAAAATTTCAGAATCTCACTTGGCTTACAGGCAAGGAGTGAGCATGTTGTCCCTTCAGTAAGCAGGGAGCAGTCAGAGACATTTCCTGGCAAAGGACTGACGTGATCTAGACCCTTCGGCGTGTACAGGCAGGGGTGCACGAAAAGAAACAGAATGCCCATGACCAGAGGGCAGGAGTCTGAGGCACCAAGTGCAAAACAGGTGGGAGCTGCCAACTGGGGGCTGGAAGTGCAGGACCACTCAGCAGGAAGGACAAGCTGGGGGGCCAGCTGTGAGCCACAGAAGGAATGATGGGGGAGAGCCGTCAGGGCAGAGGAAGGGAGCAGGGGGAGGCAGTAAGTGCCCCAGACCAAAGGTGCCAAGAGGGAAGTTGGTCGGAAGCTGCAAACGCCACAGGTGGACTGAGTCCTCAGAGAGACAGAATGATTAGAAATGACAAGAACGAGAGAAGCCCTGATTATCCTTCCAACAGACAACAGCCTCCTGCCCCCCCGGCCCCAGCTGAGGGCCTGCAGAACTGGGCTGACAGGCCCGGGCCGCACACTGCCGAGCCCAAGCACAAACATGCTCTACTCATCAACGCGCTGCCCGAATGCGGGCTTTACCCCCTCAGGTAGATGAGAAACGGCTGCTTACCTAAGTTTACAGCTAGCGTGTGTCGTCTGTAGACACCAGTGTGAGCACAAGAGGGACTGTACCGTGGGTGGAGGGGGTTGAACCACGTGTGGATCCTCTGTGAGGTGGGAGGGCGTGCCACTCGCTGGGAGCAAGTGGTGGGCACCTTAGAGGAGAACACATCTCAAAGACCCCCCCCCCGCCAAATCCCCATGGGGAATGGGCTGAGGAACTAAGGCAGATGACCACAGAGGGTGGGGGGGGTTTCAGGGGGGCAGGGGGCTCCAATCTGTGGTGGACATCAGGACCACACTTGTGATCTTCACCACTTGTGGCCTTCCAAACTCACTCAGGCTCTGCCCGTTTTTCCTCTTCAATGTCTTAAAAACCTTGGGGCTTTTGCACTCCCATCAACCAGAACGAAGAAATAACCTCTGCTGCCTTACCATCAATTATCCAGTCAGCGAACACTGGATACCATTCACTGACAGGACCCTACTCTGACATGAGGGATACATCAGCGGTCCCCAAGTTCTCCTTCCGGCCGGGGAGACACCGGACCACCCAGGAACCACATGTGCGGGTTTCAGAGCGGTGGAAGGTGGAGGGAAACAAGGGTAAGGAGAACTCAACCAAGGACACTGGAAGAGAAAAACGGCAAGACGGAACCGCCCTTTTTAGAAAATTAAGGGAAAAGAAAAGGACTCGTCCTGCTGCCACGTGGAAGAGAAATTCAAAGGGTCAAAGACTCAGAGCAGAGGGAGGCCAGCCCAGCAGCGTCTGCATCAGGCAAGGGGAGTGGTGGGGGCTCAGGCTGGGGAGGGGAAGGGGCTGCTGTGTGGACAGACACGGGCAGCAGGGTGTGAAGGACTGGCTGGAGAGGAGATCAGAAAGACAGGAATGAGGAGGGGAAAGAGCAGAGGAAGGGAGTCTCGGAGTGAACAGCAAGAGCTTCGCTGGGTCCCAAACACCTGCGGGAAGTCTGGTACGGATACCAGGGGGGCGGTTCGGAAGCTGCAGGTGGGGCTGAGGCCACAGGCATAAATCCGGAGCAATGCACCTAGGGTTGGTGGCTAAGGCGGCAGGGGGAGAAGGGGTCCAGGCTGGGCCCCAGGGTGCTCGGAGAAGGAACAGCCAGCGAGGCGAGGAGCAAACCGGGATGGCGGGTGGGAGGCCGGGCAAGGAAAGCACCAAGGGAGCAGTCTGCTGCATTGGCGCCGACGGAGCAGGCAGGTTGAGAGGACAGCAGAGAAAGACTGAGAAGTGGCCAGATTTGGCAGGACCGAGGCTGCTGTGGCCTTGACAAGAGTGACCGGTGAGGAGACAGAAGCAGGAGCAGAGAGCAGGGGTGAGAGGATGGGGCGGCAGAGCAAGAGGCAGGTGTGGATCTGCTCCAGAGGGGATCCAGGTGCGGGGCTACTGGAGAGGACAGGAGAGACGGCGCAGCGCATCTGCGAGCGGATGGGAATGAGCCTGGAGAGTAGACAAGAGCGGAGGGAGAGACGGAGGGGATGCGGGGGTCCAGGACACAGGTGGGGAGGGAAGGCAGACAGAGGAAAGACTGAAAGCCGCAAGGCTGTCCGGAGACATCCAGAAGGGTCCCAGCTGCCCAGCCTGACGCAGGGGCAGGGACAGGCCCCAAAGGCTCCCGCTGTCACCACCGTGGTGCTACTGCCACCCCTGGACCTGAGAGACCTCGTGAAAGTGGAGAGCCACCCTGTCTGCCAGCCCCAGCAGCAGCGAGCCCCCAAACCCGAGGCAGCCCGAGCAACAGCTTTACCTCTCCCTCGTGAACTCGGACTCCTGGACCTCCTCGTCGTCGTCGTTACTCTCATTCAGGGGCTGCGGGGACCAGAGTGCTCTTAGATCGTCCAGGCAGTCTCCCCACGCGCCTGCCCCACCCCAGGAGGCCGGGCCACCCAGGCCTGAGCCCTTCCAACAGGTACTAGGTCAGCCCCACAAGCAGGGAATCCAAAGGCCACGAGCCTGCAAACTCTGGGATCCTTACCTTTGGCAGAAAGGTTGAAGGCCCAGAAAACAAGCAGAGGTAGAACCTGAAACCAGAAAGGACAGTGATGGCTGAGCTCATAAAGCCTTGTGGGGGCGGGGAGGTAAGTCCTCACGCACACTCCTTCAAACACACAGGTGCAGAACCTTGAGGGCCCCGGGGACCCAGCCCTGCACGCCTCTGGCCCCCCGCACTCACTTCTTGGCCTTGGCGCTGTTGGGGAAGTCCACCACCACGCCACCCGTGAAGCCAGCCTTGGTGGCCTGGGTTGTGATCAGCTCCAACTGAGGAGAGAACGGCAAGTCAGGCAGGGAGGCTGGGAGAGCAGACGGCTTCCTCTCCGCCTCCCTTCCAGAAGCCAGTCTGCCCCCAGGATGCACCCTGCCCAGGGGGAACTGAAGGTCTTCATCAGACTGTTCCTCATTCTGAGTCCCCAAAAGCTACACAAAGGAAAATGCAAGCTGGAACCAACAATTCCCCCCAATTCTCTTTCTAGCCCAGGGACCCATCTCAGGAATGAACGGCCGTCAATCAGGAGGCAAACTCGTTATGTGAGGGGCTGGAGACAGCTCCCCACTTGTCTTTCAGAATCTGTACCTCTATTCCTCATCCCCATGGTTGACACTCCACAGGGCAGACAGCTCTGCTGTTCTCTCAAATCCTCCCCAACTTCTATTCATTTGACTATGGGAACCAGAATTATCCTATTAATTATAATACCACATGTCTGTCAGTAGAAGACTGAACGTCCTTATCCTGACCCCCGCAGATACCACTACTCTTCCCTAGGATGACAGGTCATAACACCTGCCATCAGTGGCAACAGGAACCTCTCGGAGGCTCGCTCCCTACTTTTCCCACCAGTCAGCAACAAGTTCCTCATTCTGCCACCTCCCAACAGCGGGAGGGCAGATGAGTGAGGAGCAGGACAGCTTACCTGTTCTGGGTCCCTCCCCCTTCCCTGCACCTCCAGGAGCCTGAGGGGCTCACCTGCTCTGAGTTCTCAGGGTACAGTTGCAGGACAGCACGGGCTCCACGGACCTGCAAGCAACAGAAATATCACTCTCCTACAAATATACCATGCGCTCAGGGCCCAACACTTCTCCATTCCTTGTTCACTCAGTATCTGAAACCCCACTAGCTTCATGACACTGTTCATAGGGCTTGGGATACAGCTGTGAACAGAGAGAGCCCCAGAACTTTCGGAGCACAGGTTTTAGTGAGAAAAGCTGCTAACTTACAGTACTGATGTAGTGCCAAGAAGAAAAATATATTAGGACAAAAGAATGGTGAGTGACAAGAAGACTGTTGGCTTTACTTCTGGTTCAAGGAAGGCCTCTGAGGGACACTTGAGCAGAGTCCCGAATGTAATGGGGAGCTGGCTAAACATAGGAGAGAAAACCACTTCAGCTGACAGAAAGGCAAACACAGGCCATCAGAACCTCGGATTAACTCCAGTGCATGTGTGACCGAAACCACATGACGCGTGAGACCAGCCAGCCATATGCAAAAACCACTCAACCTAGGAAAACCAGGGATGCGGTGGGGAGATTAAGAAGACCAAGAAATACCTGGATCCATTCAAAAAAGTAAAAGAACTCATTTTTAGGACTTAAAATCTCAAATCCTCTAATCCTGTAACAACCAAAATCAACACCATCGGCGCCTGGGTGGCTCAGTTGGTTAAGCGACTGCCTTCGGCTCAGGTCATGATCCCGGAGTCCCTGGATCGAGTCCCGCATCGGGCTCCCTGCTCGGCAGGGAGTCTGCTTCTCCCTCTGACCCTCCCCCCTCATGTGCTTGCTCTCTCTCATTCTCTCTCTCTCAAATAAATAAATTAAAAAAATCTTTAAAAAAAAAAAAATCAACACCATCAGTTATGAAGACAAGATAAAGCTTAATAAAGGCTCTGTGATAAATAACCACCCTGCTCTCCATCTGAGCATCAGCAGTAGGGGAGAGAGAGGGGTGGAAGTCAGAGGATGTGGGCACTCTGTGAGCCCTGGACATGATGTCTCTGTCCTCGCTCTGTGGAGTCCATGCCCCCAAACTAACTTCCAATTAAAATTCAGTGCAGTGGGGACACAGGAATTGTGATCAGTCTCAGATTTTGACATCAACATCTTCTGCATTTCGTTAGGGATGTCAGACCACTGAGCTTTCTCTTTAGACTGAACACCAAGACAAAAGTAACCACAATAAGGTCCTGCCACCCCTTTTGGGTCCTGCGGTCCCATTTGAATGGCTCTCTCATGGGCCGCTTCCTACTCCGTCACTACCTGCAAGAGGGATAAGCAGCCAGCCCAGACTGGGAGATCTCATACTCACCAGCACAGAGTAAAGAGAAGAAAAGAAGCAGTACAGACGCTTGGCAGGGATGTCAGACTTCTTGTTTGCGTTACAGAGCCACTGTATAGCAGAAATGCTGAGAAAGGAAGGGACCCAGTCAGGAGAGGGAGGAACACACATTGCTCCCCCCAGCCTCTTTGAGACTTTAACACCATGCACATCCTTGAGCCCCAGGTGAAACCCTCCTGCTCATAATTCTCTTTCTGGGCACATGCAGACCCACTCCAGCTCACCATTCTACAACTGGACAGAAAAGGGTAAATAGAAGGTCAGCATTAACTTCCTTGCAGCCAGTCCAAACAAGTATTTTCCCAACCTTGTTTCTGTGTGCCTCTCGAATTTAAAATTACACAGCATGTCAAGGCTCTCTGCCACCTAGCCCTTCATTCCCTTCCTCTAAACAAGGGAAAACCCCTTTATAGTAAACACAATTACATTCACTATCCTCCTCAATCAGTTCCTTTAGCTGTACTCACTCGGTGTCTTCAACCCCAGATTTAAAAACCTCAAGCAGCTATTATATACTCCTCTCAGGTACGTCCCCGTTCACTGCTGTGCACACATATCCACAGAACCCCAAACCCTGACAGTCTGTCCAAATGCCTCTCCCAGCTTTTAGTTCTCTCTACCACTCTCCTGGGTCAGCACTACTCACTGCCTCCATTGCTTCATCTTGCTTCTCTTCTTTTAAATAATCTTCCCAAAATACAGCTCTGCTCTTGTCACTCCCTAGCTTCCCACTGACTACTCAATAAAGCCCAAACTTCTCAGCTCCTTTCCCTGGCTACTTCTGTGCCTTTGCTCACACTGTTCCTTCACTCAGAAACCCTCCCCACGACTATCCAAACTCCTCAGAGCCTTCAAGGCCCAAGCCCAGCCCCTCTTTCTCTTCAAGGCTTTCCTGTGCTCTGTGGCTTCTCTTCACCGCTGTGGTGGGCCCCACGACTCCCCAGTCACACTCCACACTCAACTTCGGGTTTAGTTGTGTGGCCCGTGTTTATAGCACCTAATACACCATGGAGAGTCTTAAAGCAGGGATTGTGTTGTATTTCCACAAACTCCACAACACCTAGTACCACGTCCTACATCTAAGGAACGTTCAAATAAATAAATAAAATAATAAGCTTGCCATACTATCTCTCTTAAAAAACCCAAAACTGACCACTTACTCCTAAAATATACAAACCGTATCGCTGGCCTTCAGTTTTCTGCAGCTTAGAACATCTCACCCAATCATTACTAAAAAGCAACTGCTATCCTTGAAATGCGGTTTCCCCCTGATCTTGTTCCCAGATGTAAACTAATCCCTTACCCTAGAAGAAAATCTTCAAATCCAAATTTTACTGCTCACCCAGATCCCCACTGCTCAGTCCACAATCACAGGAGGAGGTATCCCCCCACCTCGGGTAAGGATTAAAGTTATGACTTCCTCCCTATCCCCTACTTCCACCCCATCAACAACACACCACACCAAACGTTCAACAGAACTCTACCACAGAAAACAACAACTTCACATTTCAAACGCTCATTTCAATGTTCTAAGATCTGTTACCAAAGTACTATGTAAATGCCCAAAACTTGACCCTGACGACCCAGAAAGGGCAGCACCACTGAAGAGACTGGAAAATTCTGGGCCACTCTCCACTGCAGAGCTATTCAAAAAGCAGCCAACAAGATGGCTGCTGGCACCCACAAAATGGCTCCTGGAGGGGTGAGAAGACCACCCCTTCCCCCTCCCCTCCCCACAGAGCAGACAGAGAATCTACACCAGCAGTACCTGAACCTGGCAGCACAAGATGATCAAAGGAGTAGACCGTTGCAAAATAGAAAAAAACACATAATTGGGGGCATTGCTCTAACCTGGGGATGTGGATTTTTAAGTATCCTGTGTAACCCTGCTGCACGGCCAGCCTGGGAAGCACTGACCTGCAGGACTACAAGCAGGAAGCGAAGACTCTTCTCACCTGACACAACCATCAAAGGAGCCTGGTTTGAAGGGGATGCCCTGGCCCATGTCCCCCAGAAGCAGGTCTCCCTCAGTGTCCCGGTCCAAGGCCGCATCTACATTGGAGAAGAGTCCATCAGGGAAAGAGACGACCCATACTGCTCCACACTCAAAACGAGTAGTCCACTCCGATGCTAAGTAGAACATACGTACCCAGCATGGCAGGGCTGATGTCGATGCCCACCCAATAGTGCCCTTCATCCGAAAGATAATCTCCACTCAGCCCAGAACCACAGCTGGAAGACACAAACAGGAACTCAACAGTGTGAGCAGCAACGACACTCCACCACCACCTGGACAACCTGAACTGGGCCCCAAGATCTCACCCAATATCCAAAAGGTAACAGGGCTGACCCTCAGGCAGATAGAGAAGCTCCAAAGCTCGCCCAGCCATCTTGGTCTGGACATCTATCATCCGTGAGCTGGGAAGGCAGAAAACACGAACAAGTGATAAAAGAATTCTGAGCTAAAACATCACCCAGAGCAAAAAAAAAGAAAAGACGAAAAGGAACAATCACCCTGAGGTACTCTCCCAATCACCATACTCAACTACTTAAAAGTGACCCCCAAAACCCACGTAATACAGCAACAAGTTACTTTGGGACACAAATCATAACTCTACCAGTTGCAATGCTAATGACTAAATGACTAATCATTGGGGATTTTCAACTCAGTAAGGCCCTGATGTGTTATTACTTAAAAACACATTTTCTGGAAGAATTACCCACCATAGTTACGCTCGTGTATAAAGCTCAACAATGCACAACAAAAATCCATAGCAGTATTGCCCGTAAGAAATATAACGCAAGCCATGAAAGACTTTCTGAGTACCAGGATTAAAATGAAACACATTAACTGTAATAATAGTTTACCCAACCCAATATACCTGAGAACATATCTTACTTAACCCAATATGCTCTAAATATTTCAACACATCACCAACATAAAAAAGCTTAATAAAATGTTAACATTTTCTTCATATCAAGTAATTTAAACTATTATTTCAATCGATGACTACAACTAATAAAAACAGGTCTATAGTTATAGTAGGTCTGTCTATCCCAGGACCAAGAGAAAGAATCCCACAGAGCTCTGCAGCTGGCGAGAAGTTTATGTTGCTACATAATGACAATTGGACCAGAGATTTCTGCTTCTGCTGACTTTCTTGGTCTTGGACTCTAATTTGAATGGAAAGAAAGAGAACCGTTATCTCTAGACTAGTGTATCAGAAAGGGAAGGCTTGGAAGTCCCTGTTCATAGCCTTCAGCTGTTAAGTGACTTTATAGTTACACAACCACCCTCCGAAACGCAGATCGTACACCAGCAGTTCTCATGAGAACTTAAGACATACAGCCTTCTGTGAATACGCTTTCCTTCCCCTCAACAGCACCGACCCCTTACACGGATCAACGGCCCCCTGCCGATTTTACCACATGCTTCAAACAAGTTGTCACTGAAAACTTCGAAAACCACCTGGAGAGTATGATCCACCCCCATTTTAATGCTAGTTTACGGAGGCCCGGAGGGTTCCGAGGTTTACTCACCGCTGACTTTCCCACTGTAAGAACCGGAATCAGTCCTTGTCCCTGCCTTCCCCACCCCCAGCCCCCCCCCCAAATTCTGCGTGCTTTCCCAGCAATGCCCGCTGTTGGGTCAACCTGCCGGTTCCCGACCCCCGACGCCGGGCAATATGCAGGTTCCCCTTACTTGCGCACGTATTTCCGGGCTTCATTCTTGTCGTAAAACTGCGGGAAAGAAACAAGAAAAGAGCAGTAGAGGAGGTATCAAGATGAGGCAGGGAGAGGGGTGCGCGCGGGGCAAAGCCTCTCACCAGCTCGGGGGGCCCGCCGTGCTCCGGTCTCTTGCCGCGGAACGCCATCTCCACGCCTCAGCCTCGAGACTGGCACAGGCGTTCCGGAAACCCGGCGTTTATGTCATCGGCCCCACGCCCGCCTCTTAGTACGCATGCTCCGCCCCTCTCCCCGCCTCCTGTTTTACTCGATTGGCTACAGTGCCGACGCGCTGCGAACAACGCACGCCTCCCATTGGCCAGTTCATCTTGCCCCGCCCGCATGGTCCATCCAAGATGGCAGCCAAGCGCGATCTGAGGTGGTCGCGGCGGTTGCTGTGGAGGTTGTGGCTGGTCCCGAACGCTCCACAGAACCCGGGATCCGGCCTGGGCCTAGAAGCGAGGACTTATTCCCAGGGCGACGGCCCACACTCGCGCACCGCGCTCTATGAGCTGCTCGGCGTCCCCTGCACGGCCACGCAGGCGCAAATCAAGGCGGCCTACTACCGGCAGAGCTTCCTCTACCACCCAGACCGCAACTCGGGGAGCGCGGAGGCTGCCGAACGCTTCACGCACATCTCCCAGGCCTACTTGGTGCTGGGCAGTGCTACCTTGCGTCGCAAGTATGACCGCGGCCTGCTCAGCGACGAGGACCTGCGCGGGCCTGGTGTCCGGTCCTCCAAGGAGCCCGCCGGCAATGCGGGCTCGCCCCGCGCCCCGCCACCTGCCTCTCGGGCGCACAGTCGTGGTCAGGCCGCGGCGGGCGGCAACCGCACCATGTTCGACTTCGACGCCTTCTACCGAGCGCACTACGGGGAACAGCTGGAGCGCGAACGGCGCCAGAGGGCCCGGCGAGAGGCCCTGCGCAAGCAGCAGGAGGACCGGGCCAAGAAGGGCTTCCGCTGGGACGAGACCCGAGACACGACTTTTGTGTTCCTTCTCTTAACAGTCTTCGTCATCGTGGGCTTTCGTTCTTAATCGGAGAGAGGAGGAAAGGGGACCAGCCCCCAGCCGGCCTTTCCTGTCTTCTTGAACCCTCGCCTTCCATAGTCTACCTCTGCTGGGGTCCGAAGGAACTGCTCTCCCCCTCCTCTTCCCCGCCCGCCCAGCTTAGCCATTCACCTGCACGGCCCTCCCCTACGGTCCAGAAAAGGCTTTTCGATGCCCAAGAAGAAGAGTCCCGAAAGCCCGAGAGTGAAGGGTTTTCTGGAGTCCCTTGGGTGCCAATTCCAGAGGTTGCCTTCCTGATGTTGTCAACTTCTGGAACACTTGCTCTGGCTTGATTGTAAAGCTCTGAGCAAGCGTTGTCTGCTCCTGCCCCACATTTGTACCGTGGGGCTCCTGTGTAACCTTGAACCGTGCAATGTGACCCATTGTTGGCTGCCAAAAGAAAAATTCTGGGGTTGTCCGAACCTTGTGTTTCTGTGAGTTCCCCAGCCACAGGTGAGACCCGATGTAGGGTAAGAATGGTATCTTTGGAAACCTTGCCGTTTTGGTATGATCAGCCCTAGGCCCCACTCCCCCTTCTGTCCGTGGCATGTGGGAGCATCTCTCTGGAAAGCAAGGTCATGGAGCATTAGGAATCGAGTGTTCCTGTACCCATACTTATCTAATGTGTGACCTCAGAGAAATTACTCTGTGGCGTGACAGCAGAGGAACAAATCATTTGCTCTCTTGAGGTCTGTCACACTTGATTATCCAGTTCTAATGGGCTCAGTGATTAAAACATGATGTTAGCAGAGTCAGATTTATCCTTGGGACAATGTGCCTGTCTCCTGGTCATTCCTTGGCCAGCCACCCCGTCACTAACTGTGCAGCCCCATCCCCTCCCTGAAATAGAGCAACAAACTGGGGGTTTGAGTCCAGCAAACTGGGAATGTGGCCTGTCCTCTTGTTTAACCCCACGAGTCAAGTCCTTGAAACTTGGCTGCTTGAGTGTGGAGTAGACGGTACTTCTAAGGGAGAGGAGGCATGTGGTGGAAACTTGGGTCTTTATTCAGAGCTGGCTGAGGCTTTTTTCCCTCTGGGTTTCTAAGTCGAGCTAAGCGGTTGGTCATCGCTTGGCTGGAGCTGTGGTAGTCAGGCTCTCGATTATGTGTCCCTGCACACGGAGTCTGTGTGTGGGCCGTGAGATTTCAGCTGCTCACGTATTTATGCACTGGGGCTAAGTGTAAAGCTGTGGGATAGGAAAACCTTTGCAAGAGTGAGGACAGAAGTGTAGGTTCTAAACAAAGCCAGAAGCGCATTGGTAAATTAGTGAGAACTGCTCTTGTGAAATCCTTGTAATTAGGATAAGGCCACAGCTAGTTCAAATTGGTGTCTCGGAAACGATTTTGATTCTAGCCTTGGAAGTCAAGGGCAAGCTCTTAGGACTTTGCAGTGAGCACACGATTCAGTGGTAAAGATTTGAGCCTGCTTTGGATTCAAACTCGGTAGGCTCAGCTAGCCTTGGTTTGGGGGGAGGGGCACATGTACTTTTAGAAAGAACATTTAATGTTATTATGTTTCATATTTGGAAAACAAGTCCTTTTTGAAATACAAACAACAGGAAGTGTTGGGCTTAGTAAAATGTGCCAGAAACTAGTGGTTCTCAACCGAGCAGCTGGATGCATAACAGCGTGTCCTTGGGGCGAGGTTCTATCAGAGTTTCTGTCAAAAAGGATTGGTGTTCTTTTGGGGGGTAAAAGCACTAGTGGTCTGTGATAGCTGGGACCTTTCTCATGGGCTCCTTCATATAGACCCCCCCCCAAGTTTGTTTTCTGTCAGTAAATATCAAAGCCAAGAACATTCTCTGGGGCCTCTGAACACAGGTATATAGAAGGTTCCAGAAGGTTGGGGGAGGGGGCAGACCCTGTGAAACTTCTGGAACATTCCATTCAACTCCAAGCAGGATAGTCAATAAAGTTTATTAATCATCCAACTGTAAACCTCTCCTTAGGCCTTAGAACCAGGCTCACGCTATTACAGTGCCATCCTACCTGCCTCAGGTTTGTTGTTTTTTTTTTTTTAGCCCAGAGCTGAACTCGAAGTTCCCACTCAGTACTCTCCCTAAAACGGAGTCTGGGTCCTTTATGGAAGGGGAGATGTGTGGGAGGCTTTTTGAAGGATCCCCAAACTGGTTCCCATCATATTTCCCCCTTCCCACCTATCCCCTATGATTGCCCTAAGTCGTTCCTTTCTCAGGTTTTTATCTGCCCTAAGGAGGAGAGGCTGAACCAGGCCATGAACGTTATCCCCTGCCTTCTAGGGGCTGCTTCCCAATTCCTGATAGGGGAGGAAGGCTCAGACATGTTCAATTTTAGTCCCTTTTCTCCTTTTGATCACAAACTAAAACAAACTCTCTGGAAAGTTGGACCTAGAAAAGGAGAAGATAACAGCAGCCCAGCCTGCCTCAGACTGTGTTCATTGGGGTGGGAATGGGATTGCAAGTACAGCATGAGGGTGAATGAGCAGCACACACAAGTCCTGAACGGGGAGACACGGACAAGACAGTAGTCAAAGGTGTACTTGTATAGACAATCCTGATACTGTTTTTGGACTTGATCAGGACTTTATTTCTCCTGAGCCAAACTTTGCCTTTTGTTGCTTTTTGTTTATTGCTGGGTGAAGGGATCCTTTGCAGATCCCAGCGCTGAGGGAGTAGGATTTCTTGCTTCCCTTCTGAGGTTCTGGCATTTTGTTCACTCGGTGACCTTGCCTTCCATAATGATCCTAGCATGAGCCAAGATGAATATGAATAGCCTACTTTAGACCAATGAGTTGTCCATTTGGTCATTATATATATAGCGTGCGCGCACACGCACACACACACACACACACACACAGAGTCCTTATGGTCACAAGCCTAGGCACCAAGGATGGAGCCCAAGTAAGTTGCCACCATACTCCTTTTTGGAGAAATGGTAGCAGGGTGGGGGTGGCATACCTCAGATCTTCCAGATCCCAGGAAGAGAGACTAGTAAGTGGTAGTTTTCCTTCAATCCTCTGTCTTGAATTCAGTGCACTAGAAATGTGGGCTCTATCCTGGTCTTTGCCTCCTCTCAATTCCTCAGCCTTTTGACATCACACACTGCCCCCTGCCTATGATCAGGATCATAGGAGGAAGCCTGCCTTGCCTACCTTCAGTACCTTGGTTCTCAGGCCCAGCTTGTGGGCCTGGTGGCCATAGGGTTTGTGCAAAGCAGTTGAGGGTCCCTCTGTTACTTTGTGAGGATGACCATGAGACCTGAATCTAGGTCCTCGTGGCGAACTTGCATATACTGAGAACGCTCAGTGCCATCATCCCCAAGAAGCAGGTGCAGAGAGCTCCTCTTCACTTGCTGTGAGGTCATGGTGTCACTCTCAATCTCTCTCTCAAGGCTGGGGTCCTCTAACTAGACTTCAAGTGCGTTCGTCATCCCATCCTGCTTTGTGCCCCTTCAGCGTTCACACCCTCAGTTCTGGGAGGGGGCTGCTGGTAGACAAGAGAAGGCCTGTTTCAGGAGGACCAAGAATGGGCTGAGATCTGGTCCCACAGGCCACACAGCCAACTTGCGCACCGTGTCTGGCTGTGGCTGGCCCAGCGGCTTCAAAAGCTTTAGCCAATGTTCAGAACTTGGGAGACTGTATAAAAATCGAGATTTCTGACTTCTCTCAAAAAATGAGAAAACACGGGTGCCTGGGTGGCTCAGTCATTAAGCTATCTCTCTCTCTGTCAAATAAATAAAATCTTTAAAAAAGAGAGAGAAAACCTGCTGCCATTGCGCTCACTCACACACTCGTACTAGCACTTGGGAAAAGCTGTAACATCTGCCTTTTAGAGAGGACATGGCTCCCCCGTTTGCTGCGTTCCCACCAACAGCAGGGAAGTGTAAAAGGCCTTGATCTACACACTTGGCCGTTTTGCTCATAATAGAGAAATGTCTCTCTATGCACCGTGTCTACCAAAAAGGGAAAAAAAGGGACCATGCATTTTCCAAAAATGGGAGAGGGTGTATTTCTTTGTGGAAATGGACTGCTTTGCACCTCTGTGACCTTCCTAGCCCCAGCAGACATTTGAGTTTGCAGACCCCCTAGGCTACATGATATGTTGTTGGAAGAACTCACACTTTAAGCAGGGAGGCAGAGTGTAAACCTTATTTTCGTTGTGGGACAAGAAAGATCTTTTGAGAAGTCTACAGCAGTGGCAAGGTCCTGGACAAAGCAAGAGGTCCTTTGGTACATACAGTCACCTCAATTCCTGCACTCAATCTTTTGTGGAAAATCCTTGTATATATTGGGAGAAACCAACAGCTAGTCCAACTTGGTCTCTCAAACCATTTGATTCTCTCTAGTCTTGGAAGTCAGGGGCAAAGTTGTTAGCCCTAGCTTTGCAGTGACCACACCACAATTCAGTAGTAAAGATTTGAGCCCACTCTGGTTCAGGCCTGCTTGGTTCAATAAGCCTTAATTGACCCCCCCCCAAAAAAATTATGTTTTATATTTGAGAAATAAGGGAAATAAGCTTAGGAAAATACTCAAGATAGTGATTCCTGAACAAGGATGTGTACATAACAGACTTTCTTAAAGGGCAGGAACTCTTTGTTTTTATCAAGAAGGGATAGAAGTTTTGTTATTTGGACAACTTTTTGGTTTGGTCTGTAAAAGCCCTGGTGGTCTATAATAGATGGTACCCTTCTCAGGGGCCCCTTGATGTAGACTCCCAAGTTTGTTCTCTCTCACAGAGGATTGCAGTCAGGGACATTCCCTGGGGTTCTGGAACCTGGAAACAGAAAGTTCCAGAAGTTGTCAGGCGGCAGAGAGCCCAGACTGCCTGGAACCTTCCAGAGCCTTTCAGAACTTTCCATGTACCTTCAAGCATGAGGGTTAATGAAGTTTATTAACCATCCAACTCAAAGGCTTTCCCATGGCCCTGAACTGAGCCCACTCCTCTCTCAGTATCTGTACCTACCTGCCTCGAGTCTTTTTTATGCCAGAGCTGAACAATAAAGGGCCTTGTTCCCTACCCCTTCTAAAACTGAGTTTGAGCTCTTAAAGGAAGGTGAGTGGTGTGTAAGACCCGTGGAAGGATATCATCTGGTTCCCTTGATAACACTTTTCTCCCCTCCCAACCCCCACCCTTGGGGTCTGTCATTCCTTTTTCTTCTTCCCTGCCCTGGGGAGGGGATGCTGAACTACTAGGCTATGGCCATTAGCCTCTGCCTTCCAGAGGCTGCTCCCCAACTCACGATAGCGGAGGAGGGTTCAGACATGCCCAATCTCAACTCCCTTTTCTCCTTTTGGTTACAAACCCACAACCCTGGAAGCAGGGAGCAGGAATGGAAAGCCAGGACAAGAGGGGCCCAGCCTGCCCTAGGCTGTGCTGAGAATGTGGGAGGTCTTCCAAAGCTGTTCAGTCTTCTCTCATCTTAGGCAGGTACCCTGTGGTTCTGGTGTCCCTCAGCCTCTAGCAGCTCAAGCGCTAGCAGCGAGGACAGTGGGAGAACCAAGGCCAGTGTGGGGTAGAGCTGCTCAAGTGGGCACTACCCACACATGCTTTGATTGCACCCCTAGCAGGGTGCAATCTGACTGTCTGGACTTGAAGGGCTCTGGAAAGCTCACATGGGCCAATCCCTCCAACCGCTGATGAAATCTCTACAGCTCCCATCAAGCAGTCACTCGGGCCCTGTGCACACCTCTTTATGGAGAGACCCCCATCCTTCCTATGGTTTCCATCCAGTGGTCTTGACCCTGACCTCTGGCTCTACATCTCTAGCCCTTGCAGGTTCAGAGGCTAACCATCACAGGTATCTCTAGACAGATCCCTCAACTATTCATTGTGGGATTTAGTCCCAGTCCCCTTTCTCATTGTGCACATAAGGGACATGCTAAGGAGACCGAAGGTGGTGGTTTGGGGGGGGGTCACTCTTACAGTTTAAAACTTCAGTGAAGAGTAGAGCCAACCCAATACTTTCCTCTTTCTAGATGGTTCTGTTCCTATTAACGTGGACCAAGATCACATTCGCTTCTACAGCACTCTGCCTGCCCCCTCCTGTTTGCAGGACCTTCCAGGCCTCCCGGCCAAACTGCACCTCATTAGACTTGACCTAAACTGACCCAAGGGCCTGTTCCTGCTCTCCCAACTTCTTGTCCCACCCTCATCGGCCAAGCTGGCTACCTAGTATTCACCGTAGTTGAAAACACGACCTTCAGCCTCACAGAAGCCCCTCCATCCCTCCCGGGAGGTGGTCATTTGGCAGGCCAGAGTAGGAGCAGGTACCATCCCGACTGGGCTTACAGGCAACCCAGGAGGAGAAGAAAGTGCATACAGGTGAGGCAGTTGGAGAACAGTGATGGAGCAGAGTGTGCTTCTGGCCACAAGTTAAGAGTTAGGAAAGACTCCCACGGGTTGGTAATCAGAGAAGGCTTCATGGAAGAGGCAGCAGCAGTGTAGGACCTGAAGGACAGCTGGGCTTTTGGATGGGCGGAGAGGAAGGGAGGGCATCTCTAGAGGAGGGCATCTCAAGAGGAGGACGCGCAGGAGCTCAGGTGTGGAGGCTGCAACAGCAGAGTGGCTGGCTGAGGGAGCAGAGACGAGTCGGGGAGCATCGTCATCCTCATCATCACATTTATTGACGGCCCCTGGGAGGTGGGGCTGGGGACAGAACATACAAAGACAAGGACCTGCCCTCAAAAAGCTTCCATCCTAAGGAGACAGGGACAGAAAAATACAGAATGGTCTTTCCTGGGGATGGCCCACTCGCATCTGCGCAGGTCAGGAGCCCCTGGCCTACCTTACCCCAGGGTCCGGAGCGTGAGTGGGGCACAGAGTAGCCCCAGGGCCATGGTGTCCCTGGCCCCGCGGCTGGGGCCTGACCACCTGGCTCCTAGGCGGTAGGCCCCAGAACTGGGGAAAGGTAGGAGCAAGACCTGATGGAAAGCGCTCCTGTCGGCCTTGGC